TTTATTGTTGTTGTGCTACTTAGATTTTCCCAGCTTGGGCAGATTGGATGGAGAGCCTCCTTGAAGATCATTTTTTTTAGAAAATTGTTAGATAAATATAATCCTGGACATTGAATGAAACCTTCCTTACACATTTCCAACAAACACTTGATGTTGGATAACCATTGGATTATGAGGAAAAAATTAAAGTTGGATTTACTTTAAATCATTTCTCAATTGAAGATTAGCACTCAATGTTAAGCAGACGTCGGATTTGATTACAAGCCAACACAACTTTAAACTAATTAACCCTTTAAAGCCTTGACCATAAAATAATGAATCGAAAATTTTGTCATTGAACTTTCTGACAAAAAAATTCATTTTTTTATAACTTTAATTAGATAATTTATTTGCATCAATTTTGATACATTAAGCATTTCTGTTTAATCTTTTATACATTTTCTGTTCCCTACATCTGTCTGATTGTGTAATTCCGGGTTTTCAAGAGCAAAAATATTACACTGATCATTCAGAGGTCTCAAAAACGCATGTAGCAAATAAAATACGCTTGGCTTTGAAGGGTTGAACGACAACATCAGATTGATGTAGCTAATGTTGCATCAATGTTTGCATTTGGTTGTCCAACGTTGCAAGAACCAACCTTAATACAACGTGGCGTTTCTGCTGGGTTAAAAGGACAAAATGTTAAAACAGGCTAAAATCTAGTACTGCTTTAATAAATACATATTATGTGAGTATAATTACATGATGTAAAAAAAAAAAAATAGTGTAACCTCATAGCTTAGAACTAGTTTATAAAGATTTAAGGCGTGGTGCTCCCAACGGGAGATAACATGTGTCAGCAGATTAGTGAAGCCTAAAGAGGACAAACCTGTCAGCCTTATGCATTTTACCTATACCTGGAAATGTGTTGTTGGTCCCAAAAGAGTTAAAAACAATCTGAAACTACTGTAGGTCATATAATCTTCCATGTTCTGTTATAATGAAAGAACATCCATACTTTATTGTTTTAGGGAGGGGCAAAAGAAACAAATAAAAAAGGAAAAACACGTAATAGACAGGGTAAAACAACATTTCCTTTAAAACAGAAGTTCAGGTTACAGGCTTTCTGTTGGACAGGTAAGGTAATTGAATATAACAGTGAATCATATTTTGCTGTTATGTTATAACAAGACACAGACGTCATTAGGGGGTGCAATTTCTCCAGATTACCTCAACAAATTAACAGCTAGAATGCCAAATGTCTGCAATGCAGGAATTGCAAAAGCAAAAGTTTGATGTAAAAAAAATCTTATTTCAAATTCAAATCATTATTTCTAACCTTGTCAATGTCTTGACTCTATTTGGTATTCTTTTCTATTCATTTCACAACGTATGGTGGTGAATAACTGTGACTTTTCAGGAAAAACACAAAATTGTTTTGGTGACCCAAAACTTTTGAACGGTAATGTACTTGTATTGATTACATTTTTATGGTAATTGCATCTTACATATAATTTCAAAATTTTACATCAAGACTGAAAAACAAGTACATGTCTGTTAATGCTATAGTATTCTTACATTTTTGCGTGCATGATGTCATATAATTTATTTTTTAATTTTTTCATGAATATAACATGCAATATATTTCAGCTCATGGCTTTTTCAAAGTAGAAATACAACAAGCACTAAAAAAAAACAACGGCATCATCCACTTAATAAATAATTACTACATTGACATTTCACAGTGAATTACTCTCTATTTACTCTACCTTCTATTTTCTAATGTTAGACACACACTAACTCAGTCAATATCTTCTGGTTGGTCTGAGATAGACTATTGTTACGCTACATACTATACTATAGGACACATCAGCGTATAAATGGATTTTCCTGGTAAGTACATCGACAGACTCTAAATTAGCTGTGGAATGTCTTCCCACAGCTGGCTAACTGCTTGTTTTTGCAGCCAGATGCTACACATGTAGGCTTTTTTATTGCATGTCTCTGTGGGTGTGGGGAGTACCAACATGGCGGACAGTGGCTTTTTGGGCAATCAGCAATGCAGTGAATAAATAGAGATCAGTGGATATCACACGCTTAAAGGGAAGCACAAGTTTAGATGGTGATAAATCCTGCACACTGTCCCTTTATTCAAGACTATTCCACTTTAGCTCAGGATTTGTGTTTAGGGTCATTTTCCTGCTGGAAGATGAACTTTCACCCCACTATCAAGCCTTTGCAGCCTCTGACAGGTTTTCTGCAAGGTCTGCTCAACTTTTGGCTCCATTTATCTTCCTATCCCACTCTGACATTTGAACCAGAGTCCTTTTCTGCCTGATCTCAATGACATACCTTCTTCCACATGTCTGCTTGTGCTCTGTATCGTTTGTAGCAAATTCAAACAAAGCTATCTTTCTTCAATAATGATTTTTTTCTTGTTAATATTCCATAAATATTCTATTTTTAATGAAGTATTTATTCGGTCAGCAGATCCTCCAGTATTACTATCAGAAACCTTTGAGGCCTCTCAAACAGGTGACCTCTATTAAGAGGTCGTTCACCAAATGTTGTCAGCACCTCTTGCCTCTCCCCCACAAAAGTGAACAAAAAATTTCTTTTTTTTTTCTCCCAATCTGTTTCATTCAGCCAAAACTTAAGAACTATGAACATATGTGGCCATCACACTTTAAAAATTGGTCTTAATCAATACTTGCACATTTGTTAGACCTGAACCTTCAGAGGCCCATAAAGACAGGAACAAAGTCTGCCTTCTATCGCATGGAGAACATCTCCAGGATTAAAGGACTAATGTCTCTGCAGGACCTTAATAACTAATTCCTGCTTTGTTCGTCTTGAGTAGCGTTGGCCCCACAGGTCTGTGGGTCAGGCAGCTCCAGCTGATCCAGAATGTTGCTGCCTGTGTCCTCACTAGAACTAAGAAAGTGGAGAACATGAGCCTCTTTCTACAGTTTTTCCCCTGGCTCACCATTTCTCTAAGAATAGACTTCAAATCCATCTCTATAAATCACTGAATGACTTGGCTTCAAATTACATTGCAGACTTGTTGTCAGTAGATCAACAGCCAGACCATTCAGGTCTTCTGGTTCCAATCTACTCTTTATACCCAGTACCAAAACTAAACATGGAGAAGGAGCCATTAGTTCTTATGCTCCACTAATCAGGAATAAAATATTTGAAAAACTATAATAAAAGCACTGTAACCCTGTTTGTTTAGAGTGGCCTTTGACTGAGGTAATTTTATTTTTTTATTAATATAATCATTTTATTTGAGCTGTTCATTTTCATTCTCTTCGATTATCTTTATCGCGTCTCTGCCACTGCAATATACTTTTACCTCCTCTTGCCTTTAGTCAGCATATGAAACACTTTAAAATGATTGGCGGAATGCGTGAAAATAATAAAAAAGTTTAAGGCAGGGGCTACCAACACCGTGCCCGCATGCACCAAGGGATCCTCAAGCACCACATGGGGGGGGCCCTCAGCGTCTTTTGAAAACAGAGCAATTTACCGGTGGGCTAATTTTACAATCATTTTGTTCTGTTGCTTTTTTTTTGTTATTTATAGAGCATTTCATTATATTAATCATAAATAATTTAGACTAGTGATGGGTTAATGAGGCATCTTGAAGCTTTTCCACACATTGCCTAACTGTACTGTCTCACAGCATACTGACACCTGCTGGACATTTAAAGACATTACAGGCAGATTATTTGACAAACTAAACTGGATTGATTTGATGACCTAGTAAAATATAATATTGTATTATTTTATATCTATGTTTAAATTGAAAATCTCTTTGATATTTTTAGATGCAGCCAATAAATAATGTAAACATTTAGCAAAATGTGACAATTTAGGGGAAAATGTGAACGAGGATGATTGTGGACTAGTTTTTAAATTATCATTTTAAAACAATAAGTACAGTAAAAACAGTAAACAACAGTAAACAGTAGTCAACTTCAAATTAACTCTAATTCAGATAAGCTGATTTATAACTGAAAGGAAGAGGATGACACAATTAGAAAATTAAAATAAAAAATGCAACGGCTGAAACGACATTCTAATTTAATTTGATTTTTATTTTAATGATAAACCGCAAAAGATTAGATTTTTTTTAGCAGATGCATGCATCTTGGAAGATACGTTTTTAAACAAAGTTCAGTGAGTCAGTCAGTTATGCACCCATGCATCGGTGTGGCTGGACCCATCAATAAGTTAAACATTTATATAGAGATTTCAAAATGAAAATACTTAAAAGAAAATAAATAATTAAAATAAACGCTAAAAAAAAAGTGAAGTAGCCCTCAGTCTTAAAATGTTGGTAACCTCTGGTTTAAATTGTTTGAGTGCTTTTCTGATGCCCTCTGGTAGTGATGGGTCAAGTGATATGGCTTTCTATATGGTCCAATTACTCATGAGTAATTGGACCATAAGGCTTACATGATTTATTGGCTGCATCTAAAAATATCTAAGATATTTTCAATTTAAACATACATATAAAATAATATAACATAATTTACAATAACTTAAATGCTATCTTTCTAAAAGGTCATCAAATCGATTCAGTTTATTCTGTCCAATAAGCTGCCTGTAGTGGCTTTAAATGTCCAGCAGGTGTCAGTATGCTGTGAGATAGAATTAGCGCAACATCAATCCAGTTTTGCTTCAAGATGCTTCATTAACCATCTCTGCTCTCTGGTGTTACTCCTGGTTATTTATGCCTCCAGATGGGTTCCTTGTATAAATGTAACAGAGATCCATTTAGTTACCGCTTAAAACATAAACACGCATCTTCGAAAATTAATGTGACTGCATTTGCTCATTATGTCTGATAATAAAAATCTACTTTAAAAGTATAGAAAGCGTGTTTATTTCGATAAATCACGAACTCGTCTTTGAATGCGTTTACTCTCCTAAAAATAGTAAACCGTTTATTTAACGTCTGTTGTCTGGTGTGATGATAACCCTCTCTACCCATAGAACATCTTTGTTCAAAGCCAAGTCTCGCGAGTTTTTCAAAGTCACGTGGGTAATGGCTGGAGCTGGCGGATATTAGAAGGTAGTTTTCTTCTTTTAATTCCTCCACTTTGGATTAAAAATAACCATTTTATACAGCTGAATTAAAACGACCGAGGCCGTATTAGACTGAAGTGTGTCTAAGTTGAACGTGTTTGCGGAGTTTTGCGGCCGCTTACGTCGACCCCGCCTGTAGAAACCGTCAAACCTTCGAAATAAGAGCTCAATGTTTTCCGCGCTTTTTAGCGCAGCGAAAAGAGCTAGCTTTGTTAATCATCTGCATTAAACCTCATACGGTCATAATACTGGCCCTCTGTTGGATCCATCGGGGTGAAATATTACTATAAACTGTCGCTGCAGAGGTCATTTAAACAGGATCTATAGCTGCTGCTAGCATTAGCCGGAGCTAAAGGCCTCATCAGGAAACTGGAGGGAGCTTTTATTTTCCAAAATCTGTTTCTGCAGCTCACCTGTCTGAGCTGCAGAAGATATGCCTGACCTAAAGCATGCATCTGATACATAGATGAATAAATACTCTGACTGTTAGTAAACATTATGAATGTTGCTTATTAATGTTGCTATGTCACCTCCACCATAGGAGTCTGTAAAGAGGAGAAGCTGAAGCAGCACCAACAGTACTGAGGGTGAGTTTTCCTTTAAAGTTTAAGGGCTTTTCATTTATCTTACAATTGCAAATTCACATAAAACATAAGTATCCTTAGTACTAATATAAAAGCTCAGTTAAAAAATAAGAATATATAACATTTTTAATATAAATCCAGTAAAATTGTTGCTTCATCAATTAATAAAGTTTAATGTTTTTGCATTTCTGTTCCAATTTGCATATTCAAATATAACATAAGTATTCTTAGTACTAATATAAAAGCTCAGTAAAAAAATGAGAATGTATAAAAATTTAAATCCAGTTAAATTTTGCTTAATCAATTAATAAAGTTTAATGTTTTTGCATTTATATTACAATTTGCATATTCACATATAACAAGTATTCTTAGTACTAATATAAGAGCTCAGTTAAAACATGAAATAAGCATAGCCTATATAATTTTATTATTATTATTTTTGCTTTTTCCATGAAGATTTTATTTCTTGTACAACATTGCAAGATATCATCACTAGAATAATATTAATGACAAAAAAAATCTATTTTAATATGCTTTACTATTTTGATGTCTCATTTCATCTTATTTTTATTGATCTATTTTATTTATAATATCCAACCATTATTGCCCAATGCTTCTGTAGGTTTAAAAAGTAAACTATTTGTCTTTGGCATTAATGTGTAGCAACAACATAACACATCAGGAAAGACTGAAATAATCTCCTTTTCTGTATTAATAACATAATTTAGATATTTACGGACTAACTCTGTGTAAATGAAACAAAAAAAACTTATAACAAAAATCACGAAAGAAAATTTATTTTGCCTCTTTGGTATTAAATACTTTTTTTCACTACAAAATGCAAAAAAAAATCCCACAACAAACCCATTAAAATGGTGTTTAGTTCAAATATCCTCTGTTTTTCTGCATTTATTTTATTATTTATACAACATATCCTTGGCACTCTTTTTTTTCTGAAATAAGATTCAAATCAAATGTTTTTTTGTCATTTTAAAAAAGGTATGATTAAATAAAGCACATTACTTTACGCACATACTTTACTAGATGGTTTTCTGCTTATTGAATCTTCTTTCTTATTCTGTGTTTTTATCTAAAGGTAGAGTTATCCGTAAATGGCCCTTTCATCAAAAATGTTTGTTTTTATTATTATAATTCGCCAGCTTTGAACTGTAAATATAACTAACAATAAACCGAATATTTACTCATTCTTGTCATTTATTGTTGTCTGTTGTATTTTGTGTTAAGAAAATGCTACTATTCTAAAATACATTTTAGAATAACATCAATTTCAAAATACCTATTTGTTCATATTGAAAATCTTAAATCATGGGCAAGGAGATGCATGAAAAGGTTTATAAAAACCGTATTAAGATGAAGATATTGGGATATTTTAATGTATCAATATTTTTCCCTCGTCTTTAGAAGTTTTTAAGTCTCTAAAAAAGAAGTTTTTGAGGAAGAAGAAGAAGTATTTTTTTTTTTTTTTTTTTTTTTTTTTTTTTTAGACTTTAGAAACTCAGAAGCTGATCAAATATCGGGTTAAATATCGGTGGGGTGGCCGATGTCCGATATTCAGTTTTAAGGCCGATACAGGCCGATACCGATAGGGGGCCGATTATATCGTGCATCCCTAGAATATGCTACATTTTGGGGACTGATAGGTACTTGTGGGGACCAACAACTGGTCCCCATAAGGAAAGTTTCTCTTCTTGGGGTGGGGGTTAGGTTTAGGACTAAGGTGTGAATTGAGTTTAGGTTAGGTTTAGGGATAGGTATGTGTCGGTAATGGTTAGGGTTAGGGCAAGGGTCACGGTTAGGCCATATAAATTAGTGGGAAATGAATGGAAGTCAATGGAAGGCCCCCACAAGGATATTGTGACACAACATGCGTGTGTGTGTGTGTGTGAAGAAAGCTGCTTGGAGAGCAAGATTTACAAGGGAGACTTAAGAATTCAATATATAAATGTGAGCTTGGTGCTCTAATAATTGGGCGCACAATTAATTGGTTTTAAGGATCTAGTTCACTTTAAAAATCAAATCATCTCCAGATCCAAAAACATAAAGTCTTAATTCCTCTTTATGTTGGATTATATAAATGGGACACCATCTACTGTGTGGAGTTCAGTGTCTTTACAGCAAGCCTACAGAGTAAGGTGGTGAGGATGGGAAAGATGGACCTCCAGCAGAACCAGAACTAGGTTCAGTATGATTGTACAGGACAGAAAGAAGACACTCTCACAATGTTTTTACAAGAGTTATCAATCTATTGGCACTTTAAATCAGTCAGACATAGAGAGGTGGGGAAGGTGGCTGTTTTTTTTTTCTCTGGATTTGCGTTTAATACTTAAGAAGATTGAGGTGGATAATTATTGATCCTGATTAAAACCGTAACATCAATGCATGAGAGACAAAGGGGTTTTTTTTCTTTTTGCAATGACTGCGTTCAGGTTCTGTTTAGGAAGCTTTAAATTTATTAATGGCTGAGTGGAGTGTAATCAGAGACCCTTAGCAGCAGGTAGGTCCTGGTTTGGCACTACTGCTGACCACCTTCCTCTCAATCCCCCTACAGCAGCAGCAATGGCTCAGGTCGCCAGTCACGGACGGCAGCTCCTGCAGCGCCTGCATCAGCAGCGCGAGATGGACTTCCTGTGTGACATCACCATCGTGGTGAAAGACGCGGAGTTCAGAGCGCACCGCAACATTCTGGCAGCCTTCAGCGATTATTTCTGTGTCCAGGCTGAAAAGGGTGAAGAACTGACGACTCTGGACCCGGAGAAGGTCAGTCGGTACTCTCTGGAGAAGCTCCTGGAGTTTATTTACACGGGACAGATGAACCTCAGCAGGTAAGAGCTTACATACCCATGTTGCTTTTAATGCTGCAGATTCCCCTCTGCGTTTTATGATCCTAAAGAAATGGATAAAAAGATTGAAAAGTTTGTTTTTGTCTGGTTTCAGCACCAGGCAGGCTGCTGTACGCCGAGCCGCTGTCTTCCTGGGAATGTCTGAGGCCACAAAGTACCTGGAGAAAGTCCCCGGTGGGACTGAGTCGGGGGAAACCTCCCAGTCGGATGTGGACAAAGAGGCGGAGGTTTCTCCTCCCAGCCCCAGCAGCCCCGCCTCTCCGCTCCCTCTGTCCATTGCCTCTGTTGTCGGGGACGCCAAGGATGACGGGCTGGACAACAAGATCCACGATTTCAACCCCAATGAAGTAGATTTGGAGGCAGAGGACAGGAGCGATTACAAACCCTCAGCCCAGAGGAGTTTTGGGCGAGGGCTGGGCAGGAAGAGGGGCAGGAGGCCAAAGGGGTTCAGCGGCGAGCAGGTGGAGCAGAGCAGCTCTAGTGACGCGGCTCCCAAGGTCCCGAGCCACAGGGGCCGGGGGAGACCCAGAGGAAGCGGGAAAGGTGGAGGAAAGGGAGCCTCTAGAGCCGATGATTTATCTGTGGGGGATTCTGACACCAGCTTGAAGGACTTGGGAGAAAACCCTGCAGACTTTGGGGACACCTCTGCCGACTGGAGCCCCTCACATGAGGACGAGCTCCCGCTTAAGAAACCACGACGGAGCAGCGGGAGAGGGAGAGGCCGGCCTAGGGGCAGAGGGAGAGGAGGACGGGGGCCTGGCAGGAGGAAGGCTGAAGAGGAAGACGAGGAGGAAGACAGCGGTGAGCTGGGAGCAGATGATGAGCAGGAGGGGGAGGCCGGGGAGCAGGATCCCTTAGAGATGGGCGAGATGTCGCTGAGCTGCAGCGAGTGCAACAAGCTGTTTAAAGACGTGAGCAGCCTGCGCCGACACGAGAAGATCCACAAGGGCCTGAAGCCGTTTGGCTGCATCTTCTGCTCCAAGAGCTTCAGGCAGGCCACGCAGCTGAAGACACACCTGCGCATCCACACAGGTGAGGAGCGTAAGGAGCAGCAGCGTGAAAGAGTTCCTGTTTCAAACCCTTGAAGAAGTTTATTTTAAGAGTTCCCATTTAATAAAGCACAGTTCAGAAAGCTTCAGACTGGGCGGCCATCCTCCCTGCTTCAGTCCTCCTGGTTACTGAAGAGAAATCAGGTGTGAAGGTTTTAACCTGTGTTGCTCAGGGAGAGATGCTCTCATGTCAGCTGGACCTCAGGAGTAGCATGCAAGATCATATTTTCTCATTTAAAGTCGTAGGGAAGTCATATCTAAATGTCAAATTAAATATATATAATAATGTGCTCTTTATCAGACAATATTGTCCCAAAATTAAAAAAAATATCTATTTAAAAAAAAAATCCTGTCCTTAAATTGGTAGGGTTTTTTCCGTTATCTTATGCAGGCTAGTTAGTTATACGTCAGCCTGAACACCTAAATTTGGTCAATCATATATCAACGTCAATCAATTTTTTTCGGTCATAGCATCTTGATTCTTATGTCGCAGCTAATATACGCAACGGTTGAAATCAGAATAATTTCCTTTCCCATTGAGTTCCGTCCCAGTGTTCAGGGGATGGACGTCTGTGTCTTCAGCAGGCGTAGAGCTAACAGAACTGGCAGCGTTGCGAGGCAAGGGCTCAAACATGTACGGCTGGAAGCCTTCTACACCAAACCAAGCTTCTGCCGCCCTGGCGTCCTCTTCCACAACATCTTCGTCCCCGCTTTCCTCCTCTAGATAAAAGATGTATGAAGGAGGAGACTCATCCACGACCTCCGACACTAAACTCTCCTCCTCTTGCATGTTTCCTCTGTCCATAGCGTTCCTTGACAGTGTTGTTTCTAAGTCACCAATTTAGTGCTACTTGGTCCCAATGGAATTTCCCATTGGGAACCTACTAGCACTAAGTTGCTAACTGGTTAGCAAGATGCTTCTGACAAACTGGCCACAACCAAACTTGCTTGCGAACCTTCGGCCACAACAATCCCGCCCCTTGATAATCGACCAATCACATTCACTTTATTCACTCGTGTAAAGTCGTGCAACGGTTGGAACAGCCGCTTCCCTACGACTTTAAGAATAATTTTTTTCTCCTGATGTATGGATTGAATTTTGTTCCAGTGTTGTTAAAAGCAAGAACACGTTTTTGGAATCTGAAACATGAGGGAAAGAAAATGCAATCCAGAAATTAAAGTTTGCAGAACTTCTTAAGCATTAAAAAGATTTTGAGAAGAACTGGGCTCCTTTCTTTTAGATTTAATTTTAAAAAATCTAATTTTCTTGTATTTTTTGCTCTTTTTCAAACTTTTTTTTTCTTTTTACAGATTTTATATACAGTTTAAATTTCTCTTTTTCAGATGAAGTTTTAAGAATTGCATTTTTTTCAAAATATGTTTCACAGATCAGAATGCAAACATTTGCTCTTGACCAATAAAAATGAAATTGCACATGTCCATGATCAGTAGAAATAGGTCTTCACTCCCCGGGGAAGCCCATGTCCACAAGTGAGGAGAAGGTAATCAGTAACACACTATTAAAAAAGGATGGCATTCTTAAAGATTAATTAGAAAAAATATGATAATTTAACATATTAAATCTGAAAAAATAGCAGTTAATCCCAAAGGCTTGAAGTTTCATTCCTGTTTTGTATTTTTTTCCCCTTTTTTTTTTACATACTCACGTCTCTAATTTGCCACAAAACAACTAAATCCTTGCTGTTTTCTCGTCTTTTATCTTATTTCATCATTTAAACAGGCTGTGTGTTCATTAAGTTAATTCAGAGTTTTTTTGTTTTACAATCTGAGCCCTCAGCTGATGGATCCAGCTCTGATGCCTTATGCTTAATAAAGATCCCAGGTTTGTTCTGGTCTAACTCGACCCGTTCTCCGTTTGTCTCCAGGCGAGAAGCCTTTTACATGCAGTGATTGCGACAAGTGTTTCGCTCAGAAGTGTCAGCTGGTCGCTCACCGCAGGATGCACCATGGAGAGGAGAAGCCTTACACGTGCGAACGCTGCGGCTTCAAGTTCGCCACGTCGTCCAACTACAAGATCCACATCAGGTATTGATCTGTCGTTTCAACGTTCCATCTCCCTTATATGCAACATCTGGATGCGGCTTGATACCTGATTCACCTCTGAAGTTTAATACTCATGAGATTTTGTGGATTTCATTCAGACTCCACAGCGGAGAGAAGCCGTACGTCTGCGACATCTGTGGCCAGGCGTTCGCTCAGTCCAGCACCCTGACGTACCACAAGAGGCGCCACACCGGGGAGAAACCGTACCAGTGCGACCTGTGCGGCATGTCCTTCTCCGTGTCCTCGTCTCTGATCGCCCACGCCAGGAAGCACACAGGTGGGAGCCTTCAGTAGATGGACAGAACATGTCTGAATCATGCAGAGTTAAAACGAGAAGCGTTCCTGTGTGTTTCAGGCGAGACTCCGTATAAATGCCATCAAACTAACTGTGATGCCAAATTTGCGACGTCTTCTGAGCTGAAGAAGCATTTGAGGAGACTTCACCCAGGTGAGTTCAGCTGCTGTATGCTAGCAGGTCTAAGCTGCTTTAGAGTAGAGATTCACTTACCCAGTACTAATATTTGTACCTTCAGCAGTATTGCAGGGTTCTCACTAGGGCTGGGCAATTAATTGCATTTGCACAAAAAAAAAATATTAATCGCAATTTCATAAAATGCAAATTTTGAATTACAGAGGCACTCAATTTTAGTCCCATTACACTTAGCAAGATTACAACCTAAAATTTCTTACTCCAGCTCTTTAGGTAGTAGTAACTTAAAGGTATTTGACAGAGTATTAGGGCAAGGCTAGAGATTTTTTTTCTTTTATTACGAGGATAGAGCCGTAACCTTACGAGGATAGAGCCGTAACCTTACGATGATAGAGGCGTAACCTTACGAGGATAGAGCCGTAACCTTACGAGGATAGAGGCGTAACCTTACGAGGATAGAGCCGTAATCTCACGATGATAGAGCCGTAACCTTACGATGATAGAGCCGTAACCTTACGAGGATAGAGCCGTAACCTTACGAGGATAGAGGCGTAACCTCACGAGGATAGAGGCGTAACCTTACGATGATAGAGCCGTAACCTTACGATGATAGAGGCGTAACCTTACGGGGATAGAGCCGTAACCTTACGGGGATAGAGGCGTAACCTTACGAGGATAGAGCCGTAATCTCACGAGGATAGAGGCGTAACCTTACGATGATAGAGCCGTAACCTTACGAGGATAGAGGCGTAACCTTACGAGGATAGAGGCGTAACCTTACGAGGATAGAGGCGTAACCTCACGAGGATAGAGGCGTAACCTTACGAGGATAGAGGCGTAACCTTACGAGGATAGAGGCGTAACCTCACGAGGATAGAGGCGTAACCTCACGAGGATAGAGGCGTAACCTCACGAGGATAGAGGCGTAACCTCACGAGGATAGAGGCGTAACCTCACGAGGATAGAGGCGTAACCTCACGAGGATAGAGGCGTAACCTCACGAGGATAGAGCCGTAACCTTACGAGGATAGAGGCGTAACCTCACGAGGATAGAGCCGTAACCTTACGAGGATAGAGGCGTAACCTCACGAGGATAGAGGCGTAACCTCACGAGGATAGAGGCGTAACCTCACGAGGATAGAGCCGTAACCTCACGAGGATAGAGGCGTAACCTCACGAGGATAGAGGCGTAACCTCACGAGGATAGAGGCGTAACCTCACGAGGATAGAGGCGTAACCTCACGAGGATAGAGCCGTAACCTCACGAGGATAGAGCCGTAACCTCACGAGGATAGAGGCGTAACCTCACGAGGATAGAGCCGTAACCTTACGAGGATAGAGCCGTAACCTTACGAGGATAGAGGCGTAACCTCACGAGGATAGAGCCGTAACCTTACGAGGATAGAGGCGTAACCTCACGAGGATAGAGGCGTAACCTCACGAGGATAGAGGCGTAACCTCACGAGGATAGAGGCGTAACCTCACGATGATAGAGGCGTAACCTCACGAGGATAGAGGCGTAACCTCACGAGGATAGAGGCGTAACCTCACGAGGATAGAGCCGTAACCTTACGAGGATAGAGGCGTAACCTCACGAGGATAGAGGCGTAACCTCACGAGGATAGAGCCGTAACCTTACGAGGATAGAGGCGTAACCTCACGAGGATAGAGCCGTAACCTTACGAGGATAGAGCCGTAACCTCACGAGGATAGAGCCGTAACCTTACGAGGATAGAGGCGTAACCTCACGAGGATAGAGCCGTAACCTTACGAGGATAGAGGCGTAACCTCACGAGGATAGAGGCGTAACCTCACGAGGATAGAGGCGTAACCTTACGAGGATAGAGGCGTAACCTCACGAGGATAGAGCCGTAACCTTACGAGGATAGAGGCGTAACCTCACGAGGATAGAGGCGTAACCTCACGAGGATAGAGGCGTAACCTCACGAGGATAGAGGCGTAACCTCACGAGGATAGAGCCGTAACCTCACGAGGATAGAGCCGTAACCTCACGAGGATAGAGGCGTAACCTCACGAGGATAGAGGCGTAACCTCACGAGGATAGAGGCGTAACCTCACGAGGATAGAGGCGTAACCTCACGAGGATAGAGGCGTAACCTCACGAGGATAGAGGCGTAACCTCACGAGGATAGAGGCGTAACCTCACGAGGATAGAGGCGTAACCTCACGAGGATAGAGCCGTAATATTATGAGAATAAAGGCATCATACCACAAAATGTTTCAGAAAGAAAGCTTTGACCTCCGACCAGCATATGAAGACCAACCAGCTCCACCAAACAGCAACTTTGACATTCTTCTCAATGTGATGCTGCTGCTAAAAATTATATGTCAAACCAGAGTCAAAGTATAACTTCACACAAGTGAAGACAGTGCTTCTTGTAAGAGTTGTCATAAAATACAACTTTTTTCTTGTAGTTTTAGGACTCTGTTCTCGTAACGTTGGACTTTATTCTCGTAATGTTATGACTTTATTCTCTTAAATTTACGCCTTTATTTTTGTAATTTTATGACTATTCTCGTTGTGACTTACACCACCACAATTTCTCCATAATAAGAGGATTTTCTTTTCTATTCTAAATTACAAAATAAATAAACTTCCCTGGAAAGTTACAATATAGAGGTAGATAACTTTTACTAGCAGTGATGTCAAATGGATTTCTCCAAATTGCATGCCAAGCTTTAACTGATGAGTAGAAACTTTTCAACCAAGGCATCAGTGGGAAGCCCGGTCTGTGCTTTCAGTGTACGCCATCGTGTGAAAGAATCTCCCAAAACCATTCTGATCTTGGCCTCTTCTGAGGCCTTTCTCTTCTTCTCATACACTTCGTAGACACTTTTTCTCCATTTTCAGAGAACAGCAGTGAGAAGGGCGAGCTTGACTGGATGAAAATATAGCTCACCACACATCTACACCTGAAAGTGTGCATACGCAGAAAACGATAGCTAGCTGGGGACAAGCATGTAGGATGGCCATACATAAACGTATCACCAGAATGATTGACAGTAAGGAGGACCACTTATTTAGATGATCCACCCGGAAATAAAAAATCTTTCTCTAGTAACCAATTAAAAATCAAAGGGGTCCGAATAAAGGAAATCAGCAAACAGTAAAGGTCTGGAGACATTTTTTTATTATAGTCCCATCATTTTTGATCATCTGTTACTTTAAACAGAATTTAACACTGATTTAAAATGAAGTGTTTATGCATCCATGTAGGACATTGAATAAAAATAAAAAATAGAATATTTTTCCATTATAAAATCTAAAGTGTGAACAACAATCGTTCAGTCTGTTATATAGACAATTTACTGATTCCAATATAAAAAAAAAAAACGGAGCTGACCATTTCTGTTATTTTGTTCTTTCTATTTTCTGTCTTAATGTTGGCAGTGGGCTTTATGCTGCCCTGCAAGGCTTTAAACCTGGTTTGAATGGAGACTAAGCCATTCTAAATCACATATCAAGGAGCTCATTTTGATCCTGCATCCATGTTTATTTTTGATTCTGTTCATGGTGGAGAATCCTGCTTCACAGCAGCAGGTTGAGCCAAACATCCTCTACATGTTCAGGGTCATCTTTGAGCACCATTTCACTTTTCTTTCACCAGTTCACCACAGTTCTTCCAGCCGTCCACACTTTCTCTGCTCTCTTTTTCTCATTGTCTTCTTTCCCATCGCCCGGCTTGCCACAGGTTTGCCTGCTGTGTCTAAAAGTAGCAAGCAGCTGCTGAACAACATGCGGCCATTTATAAATGTTTTAAATCAGGTTGGTCCGGATCCGGACCGCGGTCCGCTAATCTGTGACCTCTGGTTCATATATTACAGTGAGTTTGCAGCCACGCAGAAAGTTCAGGAAAGTTGCAGTTACCATGCAGATCCATGCATGCAAGTTGAAGTTAGCACTTTTAAAAAAATGTCACTCTAAAATCATACAACAATGAGCTCCTTTCAAGCAAGCTTTCAAAGTCTGAAAGCCTGCAGTGAAATGTTCTACAAGCTTTGGGTTAGTGCAAAGAAAAAAGAAAAAAAAATCATCACAATATTGAGGAAAAATTATCGCAATTTAGATTTTTGGCAAAATTTGTTTAGCCCTAGTTTTCACAAGGATTTTCAATGAGCGTAGCCGAAAAATAAAACCCACATTTTAAGGCCGGATAGATTAAAAAAGGAATTTTAATGTGTGTGTGCAGATGGAAACTCTGGTGTTCAGTGCCTGCTGTGTGGAAACCGCTTCGCCAGCGTGAAGAACATGATCAAACATCAGGAGAAGGCTCATGCTGATGAAGTTCGACAGCACAAGGAGAGGGCGAGAGCAGGTGAGGATGTGTTTTCATTAGGTTCAGCCCTGAGCTCAGCAGATGGCAAACAATGGTTTCAACTCTTTGTCCTTCTGCAGTCGTCCTTCTTGCCTCCAGCCACCCGGTGGCGTTTGTTCAGAGCAAGCTTTCTCAGGAGAACAAGAGTCTGATCTCCATCCCAGAAGTAGAGCCGAACAACCCGGAACCTTCCACTCCGAACCCTAAAGCCCCAGAATCATCCACCACTTCCACTCAAGCCCCACCTATAGAACCCGCCGCCATCGACCAGAACTTCAAGACGGAGGCGGTCCACCACCCTCTGAGCGCTGCCGAGCAGGTGACCTTTGAGGCCGACCAGGAGCAGACCATCAACTCGGACACCCTCCACGCTCTGGTGGAGCAGCTGCGCCCGACCGCCTCTCCTGCCGCTGGCCTGGAGCAGATCATCATCATTAAAACGGTGGACCCGGCTGAGGCCACGCCCCCTCAGCAGTGAGCCTTTAGACTGAAACCTGACTTCACCTTCAGATCGATCGGTGCCGATCCGACACACTCTGACTCTGCTGTGACTGACGGGTCCGCTGGAACCCAGTCCTTTCACCAGCAGCCCCAGGAGCAGAGTTCGCCCCGAGTCCCTTCATCCCGTTCAAACAAGATTCTCATTTATTTACACTTTTATTTAATTTTCTTTTTTTACTATTTTTGTTTTAAAAATCAAAAGCAGCTTAGAATTACTGGGTTATTTAACTTATTTTTTAGATGATTTAGATGTTTCATTTGCAGAATAAAACAGTCTGTCCTGTAATGACTTTAGATTTTCATGTAAAGTTTATTTTTGCTTTGCATAAAAAAAAAAACTGAATCAAAACAAAAAGATTATAAACATTAAATATCCTAGCATCATTATGTGAATTAGGAGTCTGTTTCCTGGACTAAATATTGACTAAACTAGTTGGATGTAGTCAGATTTTAACGAATTTATCTCATGTGGGACTGAAACATAGAAATACTTTTTTTCTTTTTAAAGGTGAGGTTATTTTTGAATATTTAAGGTAAATTCTGTACGTTTCAGAGGAAACAGACAGGATTTCATGGCCCAGAACTAGTTTGGGAAGAATCAGCCTAAATGGAGGGATTCCGGTTAGCGTGCAGATTAAAACGCGCTGCAGAGGTCCAGATCTTAACGTCAAGAGGATGCAGCGAATCAGAGTGAGAGACCAAAGTTTTACATCAAACTCTTCTCCTTTTAAAGTCTTAATTGTTGCATCTTCAGGCTTCTTAGAAACAGTTGTCGCACATCAAGGCTAGATTTCAATTTTCTTTTCGGCTTCGGTTTAAAGCTTCAGCATGTTCATTTATTTCCCTGACTGAAAAGGAGAAATTCACACAATTTTTTACTTTAAAACACCTTCGGAATATTCACTTCTTTTATATATGAGACAACCAGAAGAGAGAAAATACTACAATGTGTATCTGTTCAACTATCTATAAACGGCCTTAGTGAAATCCTGTAAGCATTTTTGTTTTTCTTCATTAATCATAAAACGAGCTCATTCTTCATCCTCCTACACCAGGCTGGGGTTGGTTTACTTTATGCTTTATTTTAGGGGAATAATCCGTGCAGAGAAATGTTTTAAATCTCTTTAATTTTTTCTATAGTGTAGTGAGTATGAGGTCAGCTAAGTGTTTTGTTTTTTATTTATTGTATCCACGTCTGATTTTGGCTGCATAGGATGGTCTGTGAGATGTAGTGTTTTTGTTTCAGTTTAAAACTGCTGCCCACCAAGCATCTCTGATAATCCTCCTGGTCGTGCTTTCATTCATGTGTATTTTTGCTAAATATCTGCATTAATTGTACAGTTGTGAGAAATAACTACACAAGTTAGGCATTGTATAAAAAAAATAAAAAGCAATGTGAAATAAAGCTAGAATGCTGGTGTGTTGGTTTAATTGAATGAATCTCTGAAGATGTAAAACAATTTTTTTGTTTTCAAAATTATTTAAAAAGTCTGCTCATATTCAGAATTCAAACTTCTGAAAGTACTTTAAATATGAAATTATTACAAACTGTTCAATAAATGAAGTGTTTTTAATTGAGAGTAATTTTCATTTGAATGTGCTTCACTGGAGGCATCCATGTTTGTCAAAGAACACTACTGCCACCTACTGGTTTGTGACGTCTGTTAAAGAAAAATGATTATTTTTTAGACTTTAATACAGTTAATCTTATGGCATGTGTAAACACTCTCACTTGAACATATTTCTTAATTTTGAACAAGGCTGTGTTAATGATTTAAAACTACTAATGGATAAGTATTTAGACCACCAGCCCATAGAATGAGTATCTCCTGGGGGGTGAATAACAGTTAAGCCTGCAGGAGAGATTTCTGCTTGGTTTACAGAAGGTCAAAAGTGAGGCCCCCCGCATTCCACAAGCTGTCTGTGAGAGCTTATCTTGTGTTTTATGACTTTAGGAATGCTAGATGCCAGGACAAGCTTTCCGCCTTTTCTTGTTAAAACAAAGAAGCAAATGACCCCAGATGTTTGCAGTAAATAAGGGGAAGCCCTAGCAGTGTCAGAGATGGCGTTTGATTGGAGGACCGAGGGCTAGCCCCTTTTTGAATGGATTAGATACAAGAGGATAAAGCTTTCTAATTAGAAGAAAAAGATCAGATTTTGCTCTTGCAAACTCTCCAAAGATGTCTTGTACGTCTTTGCTTTCTTTCCTCCTATGTCAGGTAATGGAATGTATGTCTCTGTTGTTCTGCAGTTTCTGGTGTAGGTTTGTGCATTGTCTTATTTCTAAGTTTATGCATTGTCTTATATTGGATTAAACTCTGTAATTCTGTGACGTCAACACGCAATGTTGGTTTTATTACCAAACGCAGCTCGCCGAGTGGACCTGGGGAAGGGAAGAATCAGAAGCCAATCTTTTTCCAAAGTTAACTATGATTAGAATATTTTCTTCCTTAACAATTGGGGGCTCGTGCCGGTTCTGGAGTCTCGGCGGACGGCTGTTTGGTCCTGATTGATCCGTTTCGGCCCGATGCTTCGGTGTGGTAAGACAGTATTTGATTATTTTTCAGTTGTCTGAAGCGCCGTGTGGTCGGACCGGGGCTGATTTGCTGTGTGCGGCCTCACAGAATTCAGATGCTGCAGAGGTAGATAAAATCCCTTCTAAAAGAGTCGGTTGTTTAAGGATTTGAATAAATACACATTACAGGGAACTGTGGCTAGTTCAAACAGAGCCTTTACGTTAACTCTGACTTAAGCTGGGTTTTTTAAAAGAAGGTTTTATTGATTGATTAATTAATTAATTGATTAATTAATTAATAAAGATTAATTTATTCTTTTTACCCTGAGGAGCAATGCCTGGGCCTCTAAAAAAAGTATTTTGGAAATTTGTGTATTGGTTAGTTTTGGCTTGTATCAGCCGGAGATTTCGACTCATCTCCAGTGGACTTATAATTATTTGGGTTAATTGGATCGAGTTGTATCACTCATGGAAAAGGACTAATAGCGGGTTAATTGGACCGAGTTGTATCACTCATGGAAAAGGACTAATAGCGGGTTAATTGGACCGAGTTGTATCACTCGTGGAAAATAAAGGACTAAAATAAATTATTTGATTTAATACGGGTTCAATCGCTCTCCCCAGCTGAAAAAGAAAAGAAAAAAAAACCTTTTGTCACTGGGCGGATTGAGTGATCGAATAAACTAAATTGAGGCTTATTTTCGCCTCGAGCTTGACCCAGCTCTGAAGTGTAGGACTGAGAAGTTGAAATGAGAATAAAAGGGATTTGTAAAATTGAAATTGGACAATTAAAAGATGCGTCATACATTCTTTTAGCCGGCTCCTGACGTTTTCTTTTCTTTTTTTCTGTCTTTTCTTGACTGAACTACAACGTTGTCTGTGTTTCTGTGTTTTGTATGTTTCTTTGTGTTTGTGTGCGTGCTTGGCTGCGGGTTGATCTATTGCTGTGTCTGTCTCCCCCGTTATACTGTAGCCTATGTCCCACCACGCGCTGCTGTCTATTCGTCTGTCTGTGTCTGAATTGTGCTGAGATTGTGCGGAAGTGATTTGTGTTTCAAGATTGTGTTCTGAAATATTGTTAAATATTTTTGCTGGATGTTGTATTACTAACTTTCTGTTAAAATGTGCTTCTGTGGGACAGCGGTGTCTCCGTTTTGGATGCAAGTTTTGTTTCACAGCAGAGGGACTGATTGACCCCCCTTATTTGCATTTTGGGAGTGCTTCAGTTCTGTTAGCACTGATGTCCAGCTGACTTTTTCAGGATTCTTGGATTTTGATGTGAATTACTCTTAGAACTGTGTTTTGTGTTGAGAAGAAGAGTACAAAATAACAGATTTACAGATGTTTTTACTTTCTCAGCGGGTGAAATGTGTTGCATCAGTTCCAGGCTAGAGCACTGGAATGATCCAATTGTTTTTTATAATACTGTAACATTGACAATCACTTCAATTTCTAGGTTTCCTGACACAGGAGGGAACACCCTCACTGATTGGAACAGGAGAACATATGGATGTTTTTCTGCTTAACAGTGTTTTCTACACTGTTAATGTGGGACATGTTGAAACGCTAATGAATGACTTTGTTTCTTGTAGGACGATCTTCGTGTGCAGCCCATTTCGCATATTACATGACCACATGAACGGTTTTTGGGTTTTCCTACAGGGGGTATAGGTAGCCATTTAATAACAGTGGGCTATCATGAAATACGGTTGTGTGTATAATTTGGAGTTTTTAAAAAGGTTCACTCAAAACTGAACAATATTAGAACTATTGGATAATAATGTCTTTTTATTATTTTTTTTCAACCATGGTGTTATAATATTTGTGTTTAAGACTTTTACAGGATGAATTTTGGTTTGAAATCTGGGGTAACATCCTGCATCTTTCTTACAATGTGTTGATGAGTCTGCTTGAGTGTGAATGAGAGTGAATGTGTAGGCAGATGGCCTTTGATGGGTTTTAGGATGCTCTATGTAAACATGACCTCAGTTTAGTGTGTAGCTGTGTGATATTTTTCTTATTTTAAAGGTACACTGAAGGTTTTGTTTCATAAATATGTTTTTATTACTGCTTTAAGGGACAATTTTAAGGTAATGACGATTTCATATTTTGCTGTCACAATCTGGTTAAAGCTGAATCATCTGCTTGTGCAGTGAAATTAATATGAAACGAGAATTCAGCCTTGGCTTAAAGCAGATAGATGTAGTTATTAGGAAATTGTGTTATCCACTTTGACTAACAACACTAACAAACTAACCTAAATTCTAACTAAATAAACTTGGTTTATATTTCATATGGGTGACTGATTGGACATGTTGAAATTTTAGCATAATGGGGGTAAGTTCTTCCATTTTTGTTTTTCCACCTCTAAATTGTTTTTCTTTTGGAAATAAGAAAACACAGGGGGATGTTATAAAGAGAAGACATTACAGATGGAACTTTGAAATTTACATAATCTCAGTCTAGTTTGAATACTAGATGGAAGATTTGGAGAAATGGTGGAACATCTTATGATATTTTGGTTTTTCAGCAAATTATTATATAAAAGTGACATAGATTCCAAATTGTTTTCAAAATGAGAATTTTATTATATCAACAGGGGGAGAAGCAGAAGTAGACCCTAATTCCTGGTAAATTTTTGGATATGGTTAATGGTAAATTAGTTAATCAATAATTTTGATTTTTTCGATTCAACAATAGTGAATTATGGATTTCTTTAATGTAGAGTCATATGGCCTTCCTGCTTTACTACAATATGGTGTATGTGATATAGAAGCTTCCACTAAATTAGATTTGATCATCTCAAATTGAACGGTTTCAAATAACATCTATGCCATGTCTATTTACATTTAAAATTGTTGATAGATTTCTGCATCACTGCTGACTTTGATTATATACAGTTGGGTGTAAATTGTTAATTTTGAGGAAAATTTTGGTTAAAACTGCTATGAAATTCAGATAAAATGTAAAGGATTTCTGAAATTTTGAAATAGGACTTTGTCTTGAAGCGTGGGACAATGATAAGGATGTTTGGTATTTAGTAGAACAATATGCAATTCATAATTATTTGACCAAGGGCAATTCCATCACAACTTTTATAAGTATCAGTACTTGGACATTCTAGAGTTTGTTCTAATTCTTTAATGAGTTTGTGAGGTTGTGATTTTAGAATTTGTAGTTGATATTTGGCACAAGCAGAGTGAATGTCATCGAGGTATTGACGTTTATTGATTTTGAACAGTAAGTGTCATTATTTTCTTAATTCTGGCACATCCGATCGTGGACTATTTTAACAAATTTCTATCTATTCTTTTTGCAGTTCAGGATTTGGGGCAGTTGGCCGTTTGTGCTATAACAACAACAAATCTAGCGCCACACGGGAGGAGGCATCACAAGATAAATTTTATTTATAGTAGTGAAAGTAACAAAATGTGGCAAATATAAGTTTTGCTTTTTAATTACTTTGTATTATTTTTCTCTGGCAGTTCTCCTTCCTTCTGACTTGATGGCAATCTTGGGGGAAGGGTCTTTTGAGCTCAGAGATCATGGGAAGATGTATTTGAAGGGATCTTCTTGATTACCGCATCAGGCCGCTGTTGTTGCTGAACAAAGACATGATGATGCTGCACTGTGCCCATCTTCTGCTGGACTGTTGTATGAAAGCCGAACGCTGTTGAGCGATTACGAAGGTCAGTGAAAGCGAACTGTTCTCCTGCTGTACATGATGATGCTGCACGTGCTTGCAAAGTGCTGCTCATAGGACCTGGCAACAGATGTCTCCTTTGACTGTTGCTTTTCATGCCTGGCTGAAAACAAAAGGGACTCAGGCGTTATCTGTGGGAGTCTTCTATGGCTGGAAATCAGCAGTGAGTCGGGACCACAAAGATCATAGACAAACCCGGACGGGGGCTTCAG